TACATGTCCATCACTGTCGGGATGAATCTTTCTGTAGCTGTATCACTTTCTAGTTACAGTTTAGTGGGACATTTAGCACAAAGAGCTGGGGAAAACTGAACACTCTCTCCTTATAAGCTATTGAGGCCCCAAGTCAGTTGAAAAATATCAAAACTGAGATTGGTAGATGTTTGAAACAGAAATAGAACTTGCTGGAGAAACTCAGCATGTCTGGCGGTATCTGTGAAGAGACGAAGCTGTTTCAAGTCAATGTTTCGAGTTCAGCGACTGTTCTTCAGAAGCTGACTGTTTTGAAGGAGGATCACTGGACATTGATCCTGTTTCTCTCTTCGCAAATGCTGCCAGACCTGTTGAGTTTCTCTAGCAATTTCTGTGTCTGTTTCAGAAGTCCAGCATCCGTAGTTCTTTATTTTAGAAGATCATAGAATCCCTACAGTGTGGAAACAGGCCCTTCAGCCCAACAAGTCCACATCGACCCTCAGAGCATCCTACCCAGACCCATCCCCCGAATCTGAACACTATGGGCAAAATAGCATGGCCAATCCACCCTAACCTGCACATCTTTGGACTGTGGGAGGAAACAGGAGCACCCGGAGGAAACCCTCGCAGACACAGGGAGAACGTGCAAACTCCACACAGACAGTCGCCTGAGGGTGGAATTGAACCCGGATCCCTGGTGCTGTGAGGCAGCGCTAACCACTGAACCTGTAGACGTTTTTTAGGCAAGTGTTCAGGAGGCAAGGCTAGTAAATTAATATACGATACAGATCAACCTTAATGTAGTTGCAAAGCAGATTAAGCGCAAGGAGCTGGATAGCCTTCTCTAACCATTTTTGAGACACTATGAACTCCAAAACTAAGTGACATTGTTTGGGGATCTGAAAAGTGAGGTTTTAGAGCAAGAGTGTGTGTTCTGTTTAGTTTCAAAAAGTGCATTTTTTTCTGATGGGCATGAAGATGGAAAGACTGAGAGAGAGATGGAGAGAGAAGGTTTGACAGAGAAAGCATCAGCGTGAAATTGCTTAGAGAATGGCAGGATTACTGGCCTTAGAAGCTGGCAGTGCAGTAAGACTTGTTAAGAAAGAGACCAACCTGGAGCAAATGCTACTTTAATAATTTCACTCTGATCCAAAAGATGATTTTAATCTGGAAACTTCATTTCATCAGCAAAATTGTACTTAAAAACATTGCTGGTGGTTTCTAAAGAAACAATTTCTCACTATTGTTTCAGGATAGGAGGAAATATATCCTGAGGTTTTCCTTTGTGAAATCACACCACAAATACTCCCACATTTCCAAATGCTTGTGAATTCCTGTCAAATAGGTCCTTATACAGTGATGCATTCCTGGGATCTTCAGTAAACACTGGGACATTCTGGAGATCCTCTGTAAACATTAGAACATTCCTGGAATTCTCGGTAAACACTGACATCCTTGGACATCCCTGGACCCTCTGTAAACATGGTGGCACTGTTGAACCCCTGTATAAACATTGGGGCACCACCGGGAACCTCTGTAAACATTGACAAGTTCCTGGGCACCCTCTTTAAACAGTTGAGACACACAGGAGTTTCCTAGACACTGATAGCAATGAAAGCAACTAGAAAAACAGAGGTTAGGATTTTATATATGTGTCCATACATTAAATAATTGGTAAATATTTTTGATTTCAAGCTGCTACTCTCAGGATTTGAGCTGTAATAACAGTACGTTATTCTATGGTATAAGGTCACTTTAATATATCCTGATATTACAATGAATATCAGAGTGCCTTGTTCCCAATTACACATAATGAGAACATTAAGACCAGAGAAAGCAAAGGCCTTTCAGCCTGTTGAGATGGTCCTGCCTATAGTCAGTAATTACTTTATCACAGATTTTGTGACCTTCCTTCTATTCATTCCCACTGCAAGTCTTTCCTTACTTTGAGATGTTTTCCTGCTGTAAATCAACTTTTAAACATCAGATCAATAAATGTCATTAATGGTTCCTTAGCCCACAACTACATCCCACCTCAATGACACCTGGGGATCGATTCTATTCTCCTGGTGAAGTGAGGGTGAGAATTTTTCTATTTATCTGATTTTAATATTTACCTGACCTTACTATTTACCTGTTCACCTGCAATTTGATAGTTTGATGGTGAAGAGAAGGTTGGGAGCAGTGATGGTTTTGAACTTCCTAGTCAGCATTTCCTTGGGGATTTTTCCCATCCTCCTCATCTCAGGACAATCAGGGGTTTCCAACTTCCGTTGGTCATCTCCCCGTGTGTTTCATAGAATCACAGACTTGTTATGACACAGAAGGAGGGCCCAATGTGTCTGTACTGCTCTCCAATGACTTAGTGCCACTTTCCTGCCTTTTCCCCAAACTGTTGCACACTGTTCTAATCTAAATAGTCATCCAGTGCCCTCTTGAATGCCTCAACTGAACCTGGTCACAGTTCAAGGCAGTGCACTCTAGAACTGAGCCACCTGTTGTGTGAAAAAGATTTTCCTTCCATCATGTTTGCTAGGTTTGCAAATCACTTCAAATCTGTGTCCCCTTGTTCATGATCCTTTTGTAAGTAGAACAATTTATCTGTATCCATTGTTCACGTGGACTAGTTGGACCGAAGGATTTGTTTCCATGTTATATGACTCTACTGTATTCAGACCTCTTGTAATTTTGAACATTTCCTGGGATCTTCTGTAAACACTGGGACATTCTGGAGATCCTTTGTAAACATTAGAACATTCCTGGAATTCTCGGTAAACACTGTGACATTCCTGGACCATCTGTAAACATAATGGCACTATTGAACCCCTGTGTAAACACTGAGCAATGTTTTTAAGTACAATTTTGCTGATGAAATGAAGTTTCGAGATTAAAATCATCTTTTGGATCAGAGTGAAATTTTGAACTTGGATCTCCAAGATTTGCGAACTGTTCTGTTGTCTCTCCATGTGTTGCGATGTGTAATACGATGCAAATAGGCAGGTCACTAATCATGTAAGTTTTGGATGCATCTCAGCTTTGTATTTGCGGAGGAGGCCAGTACTTCTGCACAAGGTTTTGGTGACACTTATACAGACAGCTGTCCAGCAATGTGCTCTCCTCACCCAGGGTATGTGCAAGGAATTGCAAGGGAGTCAGGTCAAGAACTACAGGTTTCTGCCCACACGAACACACCTTTAAAAAGCAGCATTTCTCTCACTGTACCTCTTGCTTCGTTGAAGTGGATAGGTTGAAGGCTGTGACAGGCAAATTGTTTTACAATCTATTCCCACAAATTGGGATTGCCTCCTGAAGGAGGACGGTTTAATCTCACTTAATTGAACACGCAGCCTGGAGCTGTTCTCTTGTGCTTTCATAATCTTTAAAGTATTAAAATAAGAATAAGCTGGGCTTCCCATGTTTTCCAATTATGCATTAAAGAACAAAATCCTATATTCTACACTTCAACTTCAATAATATTTTATAAATGCCATTGATTATAAGAGCAGGGAGGTCATGTTGGAGCTGCACAGGACTTGAGTTAGACCACAGCTGGAGTACTGTGGTCTCTGCTCCATAGGAAGGATTTGATTGCACTGGAGGGGGTGTGCAGTCACCAGGATGTTGTCTGAATTCATCCATTTGTTATTCATTTCATGTGAGCATCTCCCCAAACATTCTATCCACGTGGTCCTCAGCCTTGTGGATGCACAAAAGGGACTCCAGCCACTGCTCAACTTCTAAAACCCAGGTCTTAAACATGTGCAGCTGGTGAGACTTCCCATACATGTGTTTTCCTGTGCCACATGACACGTCACATATATCGCAGATATGCATTCCATTTGGCCAAACTGACCTGCCATCCTGTAACCTTAATAACTACTTACTGCAATTAGGATAGTAGAAACTCTGCTGTTCTCAACAACCAGCATCTTCCTCATCCCAAAATAAGACCCAAACACAGGAGATAGCTCCCAGTCCAGTTACTGCTCTCATGCTGTTTTCAGTCTCTCAAACCATTCTCCTCTCTAGGTGATGCTAACTACCTGGCTCAAGACCTTCACCTCACCCATTCCTCTCTGGAGTTTAAAAAAAAACAAGGCAACATTCTGAACATTGCAAGATTCTGAAGGGGCTCAACACAGTAGTCACTGTGAGGTTGCTTTTCTCCTTGCTGGGAAATTGAAAACATGGGGCACAGTCACAGGAAAAGATCATTTAGGTCTGAGATAAGGAGAAATGTTGTGAATCTTTAGAATTCTCTACCCCAGAGGATTGTAGATGCTCCATCATTGAGTCTGTTTAGTGCTTGGATAGACAGATCTTTGGGCTCTGATGGAATAAAGGGGTACAGAGACTGGGCAAAGAAATGGAGTTGAAACTCAAGACTGACAATGGTCCTATCAAGTGGCAGAGCAGGCTTGAGTAACTGAAAGGATTACTCCTGCTCCTTTTTCTGTGTTCTGTGGTTAATATGGTGGGTGTTGATTCTGCATTTCCTTTAAGACAGTGCTGGTGTGGTTCCTGACTGGAGTAGAGATTGCATCTCATTGATGATAAGTGCCTTGTTAAAAAACACATGGTTAACGTGATGTTCGGAATTGATTCTAATACCCTGAAGGGATTGGAAAGGAATTTTTCAGTGTATTTTACTGGCTCTGCATTTCTGATTTCTTTCCAATTGTCTCTTCTCATTAGCCTGTACTCTCTTGGGAATGAGGGTGTAAGAAGTGTCATGTTCGGATGCCTACAGTTTTATAATTACGTAATTGCCCAGCAGGGATTGCCACATTGCAGAGTTGACATGGTGATTAATTCTGTAAGCTCTTGGCTAGCATGCAAGAGTTTAACAAGTTGGTACATGGCAATTAAATACAGGCAAACTGACCTTATGAAAGCTGCACTTTCCCTGCAAGGTAATTCTGAACACACCCTCACACTCACTCAGAATGTCTCCCTCTTTCACCAACTCAGTTCCATGACTCTTTCCTCCCTTGGATCCAATGGATTGTGCACAGCCTCCCTGTCGCCACTCTACTCACTTCAATAGTAAAAAATTGGAAGAGACAGAGATGATTATCATGGACCTGCACAAGGATGATGTAAACATTGATGAAGTATTCTGTTTATTTTTGCAGGTTTTGTCTCTGCCTCTGTGCTAGAAGGCCTGGACTCAGGTCATATATCAGGACATGTTGGCCACAGAGGTGTGTCATCTCGCATCCAAACATAGTTTTTTAAAAGAAAAGTACCCCTGGAGGACTTTATACATACCACAGGATGTATACTCTACTTGGCCAAACTGACCTGCCATCCTGTAACTTTAAAATGATGAATGACCTTAAGCCTCTGACCAAAAGCCACGTTCATACACTCCTGCTATTGGTCACACAACATGCCCATCCTCATGGTGTCACATCATTGCACAGTGCAGGGCCTCATCATTAACCTACAGATATAATTTGGTTGACAGTTAAATAAATTTGTTTTTGCTCTAATTTATGTTCAAGTCATTGATAAACATAAAATACTCAAAGGAATTAAAAAATGTTTATGCCAATTCCCCAAGGATTGATCTCTCCTGTATAATCTCGCAAAAGTGTCCTTGGAATTAATTTTTAATTGCTGGAATCTCCAGAATGGGAGGTTGATATTAACACTGATAAGGATCAACATGTTAAAGATAGGAAATAAATAATAATGTCAGAAAATGCTGGAGAAACTCAGCAGGTCTGGCGGTACCTGTAGAGAGAGAAACAGAGTTAATGTTTAGTGTCGAGCATGGTTGCTCTTCAGAACTGGGAAATAGCTGCTGACTGAGCCAGTGACTCATACATCTCATGGACGAATAATCAAAATCAACCCACAACACAATACATTCCTCCCTACACTAGCATTGTTGAAAACCATTGCCCCATCTATTTGAATCAAATCATAACTGGCTTCCATCACCTGTACAATTACATTGGAAATCTCTGTCCTTCTTCCTGATTCCCTTAATAACTCCTGCTCTGGTCAACTATCAGATCTCTCAACATTTTGCAATTTTGGCACTATTTTTCCAAGCCTCTCCTGCCTTTCTAAGTTTTCTCCACATACTTAAATGTTTGCTGAGAGCTGAACTCTTCACAGAATCACAGATTTGCTATGGTAATGAAGGCCATTCAGCCTTTTGTGTCTGCACTGGCTCTTTGAGCATTTTTATTGAGTACCATTCTCCTGTCTTTTCCCTGTAACCCTGCACCTTGTTTCTATGTAAATAACCATCCAATGCCCCACTTGAACACCTCAATTGAAGCTGCCTCCACCCACATTTCCAGGAAGTGCATTGCAGACCCTAACTACTTTCTGCATGAAAAAGATTTTTATCGTCTCGCATTTGAGATATTTTACTCTTCAAATGGACAACTATGGCAACTCTTGCTGAGCCAATTATCTCCATTCAGCTTCCTGGGAAAATTCTGCACCAGTTAAGGCTTTGGCTCAGGCAAGTTGTTCACAAAATGCAAAACATCGCAATATCATGTTCCTGAAAACTTGATAGTCCTTACAGATGTCAGAGTACGTTTGCCAATTAAACATGTACGTTGTATACTTGCACGCAAGGAGGATTATAAAAGTCAGAAACATCACCAAAATATTAGGAGGGGTTGCAAAAAGATATTTTTGGGCCTGTGGCCCTACGAGCCTGTCAGAGGACACACAACACCGGATTATAGTCCACCAGGTTAATTTGAATTCACAAGCTTTCGGAGAACTTCTCCTTCATCAGGTGAAGTGACCTATGAACCTGTGGAATTCTGTGCCCCAAATCACTGCATGCTTTCAAGGAGTTGCGGCTAAAGGGATTGAAGGGTATGGGGAGAAAGCAGGAACAGGGCACTGAGTTGGATGATCAACCACAACCATATTAAATGGAAGAACAAGCTCAAAGGCAAATGGCCTACTCCTGCCCCTATTTTCCATGTTAAAAAAAACCTTATGTGCCTCCTGAACCTCTATTGAACCCTTTGCCCATAGTTTGAATCTCATTATAGTCTTTAGCCTCCCTACTTTCGAAGCCTCTTCCCAATCTAAAGTAATCCTACCTGGTCGACTCCTTCAAATCTGGCTATTTTGTGTAGCTTTCCATGTCTTCCCAACCTCTGTTTCACATCTCACCCGAAAGGCAGTGTCTCCAACAGTGTGGCACTCCCTTGGTGCTGCATAGGGAGCATCTGATATGCTTTTCAGTGCTCAGCAATCTCTGGAGTGTCTTCAACCCACAACCTTCTGACGGAGATGTAGGACTGTGACATCGTGAAGCTGACTGAGATTCAAAAGCCCCGACTGGACCCCTTGAGACCATACACCTTTTAGATTGAAAATGAGTTTGGTTCACAAAAGCACAATGCAGTGATGTAAATCCCAAATGAATGAATAAATTCACGCAAGATCAAAAGTCATAAATTCACTATCACTCACTGCAATGAAAAATTATTATTGCTAATATTAAGCACAGCAGTCAGTTTTTCTCATACAACACTCAAATGCTACCGATTCAATTTAACATTACGATGTGATTTTTAATATATATATTTATACAATTCTAGAAGCTGCCACTTGTTTTAAAATTATTTTGGTTTCCAGCTGCTAGTCTGAAAGCACGACAAATCTTTTTCAATCTCATCTCCTCTGTCTTTCCCTCTGTCAGGTATCTCTGTTATAACTGAGTTGAATTTTAAACTAAGCTCCCAGGTGTAAACCATGCAGCAAAACCAAGTCTAGACTTGACATGGACTGAAAACTCTCACCTCCACTTCTTAGACAAGTGTCTGTCAAGATAAGTTCCTGCAAGCATACGCCGCTTGGAGCTCAGGCGTCAAAACAAACACTCGCCTTCCCTCAAATCTCCAATCCTTTTCCACTGCTGTACATTTCAGAAGAAGATCGAGGTGAGTTGTCCTGAAATAAACTTCGTTACTAGTTTGTACTGAAGGATTATCACCATGATCTCCCTGGCCACCTCCCATCCAGATAGTTCCCCTCCAAGACACCCAGCATCCATTCCTTCAGTGTCGCTGGGTTAATATCCTGAAACTCCCTCCCTAATGCCATTACCACCCCAAAGACAGCAGCGGTTCAAGATGGCAGCTCACCCTCCTACTTCTCTACGGCAACTAGGTTCGGGCAATAAACGTAGGCCCAGCCAGTGACACTAACATCCCATGGTTGAATTAAAACAAAGCGAGTCTGCTTCCTACATTTCTCCACCTACAACCATCAACACTCCACTGCCTCAGTGTGACAGTCAGTCTCCAATGTGTGGTCAGTTAGTTCAGTTGGTTGGACAGCTGCTATGAATGTTAGAGTGATGCCCAAAACAGAGATTCGGTTCCCACAGTAGCCGTGAAGAGTGTTCCTTCTGAATTTCTCCCCTGACCTGAGACATAGTGACATTCAAGTTAAACCACCATCAGTTATCTCTCTACTGAAAGAGGAACCCTATGGTGTGGTAAGACTATGGGTAACTATACCTTTAGTCACCAATAAGGCTGTGATCTCCTCCAGTTTAATATTGACCAAGGTGCTCACCTTCAAACCCTACCACAACTGCACAATATTTCCACCTCCTTCTCTGGCTACTGTCTTAGCTTGATAGAAATCTTGAGGTTCTATATGATTCTAAGTTGAATGTTTGACCCAAAAGGAATCTCCAACTACTTCCATCTCCATCATTAGATATCTCTTGTCTTCCTTCAAACACTTGCTACTGATATGCTGATCCGTGTAGCTGTCACATCCTTATTTGCCCTGTTGGCAATAAGGTAGGGGCCTTGTGAGGGCATCTTTTAACATGGGAATATTGTTGTACATCAGCAGACGCACGGTCCTTGACAGAAAGTAGATCCAATTTGAGTGGATTGATGACTGGGATCTCCTGACTGCTTCAGGCGTCATCCAGCCTTGATATCACACGGATATCTTCCACATGAATCATTGTTGAGGACGTGTTTTGGATTTGCCTGGTTCCTTCCCTCTGACCTTACCATCATGTGTGGCCACTACCTGGAGCTGAGAACTCCCAACCGTATTGCTCTTGGGATCAATGGTAAATCTGAGCCTCTCCACCGCAGCAAGGTGGAAAATCCACAGAAAAGCCTGACTGACCTCACCCTGCACTGTCTTGGCTGGCTTCTCAACTTCCATAAACCTCAGCTCAAACATAATATTGCCGCCTGTATCCTTGAATACTGCAGCAAATCACACGCATCCATTTTTCTTTGGAAGACCTATATTGGTCTCAGGTCCTCCAGGCCCAGTTGAGGATCATTGGAAGTTGTGCCTTTCAACTATCTGGACCTGATCTTTGGAATTACTGACATGAATACGTCTGCACCATCCTCTACTTTTACTTTGTTCTTTTATGAGATGTGGGCATCAGTGGTAAGGCTAGGACTCCTAATTGCCCTGGCACCAAGGGGTTTGCCCAGCCAATTTCACAGGGCAGTTAATAGTCAACCACATGGAGTCCTAGAACTGTACAGCATGGAAATTGCCCTTCGGTCCAACTTGTCCCTGCTGACCAGATATCCTAAACTAGTGAAACTTGGATGAAAATGTAGATGGGTGGGTTAGTAAGTTTGCAGACGATATACTCATCAGTGGAAATGTGGATAGAGTAGAAGGTTGTCAAGGGATACAGCAGGATATAGATCAGTTACAGATATGGGTGGAGAAATGGCAGATGGAGTTTAATCTGGGTGTGAGGTGCTGCACTTTAAGAGATCAAATGTTAAGGAAAAGTATACAGTTAATGGCAGGCCTCTCAACAGCATTGATGTACAGAAGGATCTTGGGGTTCAGGTTCACACGCCCTGAAAGTGGCCACATAAGTAGATAGGGTTGTAAAGAAGGCATATGGCATGCTTGCCTTTATTGGTCGGGGAATGGAGTACAAGAGTCAGGATGTCATGTTGCAGCTTTATAAGACTTTGGTTAGGTCTCACTTAAGAGTATTATGTTCAGTTCTGGTCACCACATTACAGGAAGGATGTGGAGGCTTTAGAATGGATGCAGAAGAGGTTTACCAGGATGCTGCCTAGATTAGTGGTTATGAGCTATAAGGAAAGGCTAGAAAAACTCGCGTTGG